TTTTGCTTTCTTCGTTAGCACTAAAAGGTATGTTTCGTTTCTTTTCCTCTTTCAGTCATATGTATTGTTGAAAAAGCTCTTTTTTCTCACCAGAAATGTCCTTCATCCATCACCCACCTCACATAACTTTCAGGAATCCCAGAAATGGCTTCTTCTTCCTCCACTTTAACTTCCTCTCTCTAAGGACAAAAAAAACACACACAGAAAGAAGAGTTTAGTATTAAACTATTAATATAGGTGTTGTGCATTAATGGCTGCTTCTTGTTAAACTTCTTCTCACCTTTCTATTGCTCGAATCAGATTCAACAACACAAATTTCTGACTCTATTTGTGTACTCTCCGGGATGATTTCAAAGGATCTAACCACTGTTGATCTGCAGAGATTAGAAAAAAATGTTAGAGGGTTTAGTGAAAATGTTTTTGGTTAGTAAAATACTAGTCACAAATAATAATAAAAAATGTCACAAATGAATTCAATAACAGATCTTTTCTTCTTCCTTTTTTTTTGTTTTACCTTGCGTAACTCTCATCTTCACATGAGTTTCCTGAAGAAGAAACCCAATCCATATCAAAAGTTGCACATGTACATTGATCACCATGCCCATCATCGCAGAAGCAATCGTCTTCAAGAATATGGTCTAATCCTATGTCCTCCAATGTCGGTGGTGGAGCACTGCAAAAACAAAAGCCATCACCAAGATTTAGCTGCCAACATCCCAATTTAGAAGATTTATTTAGTAGAGATCAGAATAAGCTTTTTCTTTTACCTCAAACTAGCAGCAATCTTGGCAGTGTCAGACGTTGAGAACACAGGTGCTGAATCCGAAAGTCCTTTAGCTTCTTCATCCTTTTCACCTAAACTATGTCTACCAACTGGTCCCAATGCGGCTGTGTTGCTCTCGCTAAGGATGCTACTTTCTGATAGAGATCGTTTCATTGTAGACCTGAAGGCGATAAAATTGTAATGTTAAGTATCTTCTCTAATGAACACGAAATGTTTCAAACTTCTCTACAAGTATCTTATTAACCAGGAAATGTACCTCGAATTCTCCGGTGGAGCATTGGCAAGAAATCTTGCTGCATTGTAATGCTGATCAGAACCGAGTTCCCATAGTGCTGGCTTATCTGGTTGTGGCTGAAAGTATCCCAAGAACCTGTAGAGATATACAAGTCAAATACTTTCTTCATACCAGAGGCACAGAAAATAGAGAAAATTTAGCCCAGCCTACACGTTAATTGCGTCTTGCTTTTCGGCGTCCATATAGGCGTTACTGTAGTAACGTTGTAGAGTTCTGAAGAATTCCTGTGACTGAGTTGCCGCTTTCCATTGACCACGCCTTTCACAAAATATCTGTACACACAAATAAGATCATTGGTTAATAATTATGTCCATCGCTTCTCATCTAACAAGGCAACAAAATTAAGGCCAGAGACGCTAGCAAAGAGACCTTGTTGTGAGCTGCGGATCCTCCATACTGAAGCGCAAGCGTATCACCCATTGTCTCATAAATTCCCATCAAATCTTCAGCAAGGGGATTGTCTAGATTAATAGTCATAGACTCTGTCAATCCCAAAGCATGGAGTTGACGCCCAAATGCTACCAACCCATAGGCATATTGAGCAACATTGGTGCGATCCAAACAGTCTATGCAATTGGTCCTCAGGATTCCTTTCTGAAGCATGGTTGCTTCCTTTAGCCGATCCTCCTTAGCATCCTTGCTATCATTACCAATTTCCACCGCCAAATTTGATGGAGTTTCATCTTTACTGGGAAGATCATGATTAGAACATTCACCATTGTTGTTTCTGCAATACACCGAAAGGATTAAAATAATCAGAGCCTAGTTACCATGTAAACAAAAGAGATGAATAATCTGCTAAGCATGAAACTACATAGAAGGTAAAGAAAACTATTGGTAAATTGGATACTCACTCCAAAGTGGATGGATTCTGGTTCTGAAACCTATCTGTTCTAAGATCTGAAGTTAGCTGACAGTAGAAGATGCCAGTCAAGTTCAGTGCATACGTAGCCAACCTGTCGAGAATTGCCAACACGTTTGTGCCTTTCCTGGATAAAAACAAAAGAAGACATTTTCAGTAAGTAAGAATGCCTATTGTATTTATAGAAAAAGGAATAATAAAGAAAATAAACAAAGAAGCATATGAGTTGTGTGCATGGTGTACTTTCTGGAGTGTTTATGCAAGTCCCAGTGAAGAGGCCTTAGACGCTCTTCCTTGCTTAACCCTTTATTTATAAATCTAATTGCATTTGCAAACTCTGCACGCAGAATAGTCTCCCGAGGCCTCTTTTCATGCGTCTGTATATTCAATCAAGTGAATTAGGAATTACCAGGAAGAATATATCAAAATTTGTATACTCCAGACTATCGACAAGTTAAAATACTAACCTTAATCAAGTTCAATATGATGATTGGATTCCCATATCTCTTAGCGAGATTTTCAAAATGCAGTCTGGTTGCTTCAAAGCTAGGGTCTTTCGCTGACACTTTACGCAGATAAGAAAGATCAGTACAAAAAGCAATGCAGAAGTGAACAAAAAAAAACAGAATTGATAAGAACATATTATGTTGGAGAACAAAGATCATACATATTATATCAGGTTTGATATTCAAGCGTGAGGTCTCCTGATACCAGAACAAAGGAATTGAACCCCGATTCTGCACTACAGAACTAATTCGGACGGGATTACTATCTTGAGCATCCTCGAAAACAATCTGCTCTGTTTCAACATCATTAGCTACCCTGCCTTTCTCGTTGACACCACGTTTCAGATATCTGGGGAACAAGATAGAAGATCATGACCCAGCTAAAACTTAATTCCATTACAGCTTAACCAAATAAATGACAGAGATAGAACAAGCTCAGGTGGGGAGATTGTACCTTGTGCCAGCATAATGTCGAGATCGGCGAGCAATTAGAGTCAATCTAAAGTTCTTCTCAGAAACTGATAGTTTAACCTAGACATTAGACAATAAAACAAAGTCATTCTAAAGGTAAACAACTTTTGACGTGCATCAAAAGACAAGATTTGAGAAGGCATCCAGATAATGTGGGGTTTAATCCTAATTCTTGCAAGAGTTTCTTCTCTCATGCTTCAAAATCAAGTAACATGGACAACATAATTTTCGATTGAGGTTAATAATCTCAATACCTGCTTGTAATATGCACATCTCTGAATGTTAGAAAATATAGTAGAAACCTTAAGACCAATTAGTACAAATAATACCTGTTTGAAAAATCCATATACCAAGGCAACTGTCCACATACAGTCCTTAGCGCTGTTTCGAATTCTTCGAGTTAAGTATTCGTTCCAGACAAACATCGATTCGTAGTAAGTGAGTCCTTCCACGTTGTTTGACAGATTCCTCTGAAGTGTATGCATAACGTGATAGGAATAGCTGAAGAAGAAGTCCTTCGTGAGATCGACAGTGCAGAGTAGCCTCTTGTACCTATAAAAATTCCAAGGAAGACAGAAGAAACAAAAAACGAAACACGATTTAGAACCTGAATCAGTAAACAATCTGGAAAAAAAAAAGAGAGAGGAAGGTACAGGATAAATCAAAATTCAAAATATAACAGATGAAATGAAGTTAGAAGAAAATAAAAATGAGCTCTCCCTTTATTGATAGTAACTCTGTCATATAACATATCAAAATAAATACAACAAATAGAAGTGTGTACACTGTACAGACAGGGGAGACGAATACCTAGTAATAGTAAAAAGCAAAAAAATGCAACACAAACTGTCTGAGTAAAGCTTTAACAAAAAGGAAAAGATAGTAATGGAACTCTAAGCTGTTGGATTATCTCCAACAGGAAAATTGAAAAGAACCTGTAACGAATTCAATCAGAGTTACCTCAACAACTGTTAACTTGTCTACTAGAAACCTGTGGCACTCTTAAAGTGCGGATCAAAATAGGGGAGAAAAAAAGACAGCAGCATGGTCTCAGAATCTAAATACAAGTGAGGAGTTTTATAATTTCGAAATGTAATGACGGTACCAAGGTACAGGTTTTCCATTTTACAAGCAGAAGTGACATAAGAAGACCTTTTCTCATCCTTAGAATAAGCCACATTGGTTAGCACAGAGGCATGTGGAATCGTAATTATCTTGCTCTTTGCAACACCATAAACTGTGTGCCCACAGATTTCACCAAGCTTCCTTCTTTTAGTGATCATCAGCATGTAATAAGGTCCCAAGAACTTTATGAATCCTAAAACCAAGAAACAATCGAGGTAAGACATGTTAAGCGAAAGAACTAACTAGAATAGAATAAGATGCTTGATGCTTAAGAGATATACCGATGATCCCGTAGCAAGTGGTGACAAATTTCAATCCACCAGATGATCTGTTTCCTTCGTGTATCCTTCTCAAAGTTTCGAAGCATTCAGCTTCTGTGTAAGCTGTTGAATCTTCGTAAATGTTTAGCTCTGTTGGGTCTGTTCTATCTAACTTCAAGACCCTCCAAAACGTTCGGTTTTTATCTCTTCCAATCATATAGAAATTCTGTTGCACAACAAAAAAAAAAACAAAGATTAGCAAAATCTATGGATTCATAATCAAACCAAGTCAAACCCAGAAATAAAATTCTGAGAAGAAATCACCCTAAATCCTAGATGCAGCAAAACACAGAACAAACGAATCAATCATGAAGAAATGTTGGAAAATTGAGAGATGAGAATCATCACCGAGCGAGTCTCGTAAAGCCTGAATTTCTGGAGGAACGAAGAACACATGTCGACTTGTTGGTCTATCGATCTCTCTGACGCCGCCATTTGAAAGAATCGCTTCAGACCCGGAGCTCGATAAACTCGGGTCGTAAATCACAGAAAA